AGGGCACGCGTTCATAACGCACACCTCGTGACTGTCGAAAAATAAACAACTCTTTGTTTTAAGTTTTTACGCGAAATAAGTCGAAATAGCGACGGTGAGGAAAGTCCGTCTGGTAGATTTTCCAATTTCACAGACCCCTGGCTTCGAACGAAAGTGTCTGGCCACGTGACAACTAACCGGGAGGCCTTCCTGGGGCGTCGCTTGCGCCGTGACGTCCATACGTAATCCTTCTGCGACGCTGTTTAGAGAGGATACTGTCAAAATATAACGGTTTTCTGAAAATGGCCGACGCGACGCTAGGCGGACGGGGGAAGAGGCTTTTGCTTCCATTTATTTAAAAGTGTCTTGTTTACTTTACGGCTCAACGTCGATTTGATCTTGTACCACTTAAAACTTGCCCAAACTTGTACTCGACGAACAGCAATAGTAGCAGCGATAGCACGGTAATAATGGATGTAAATTTTAAATGCCCCCCGTCTCGCCGCATTTTAAATGCAATTATGCAAATGATTTTATCGGCCGACGGGATAATTTTATAATGACAACGACCAACGTCGCACAGCCAGACACGTTGAAAAAGGGGTTGTTCCAACCTGTTTAAAATATGCGAGCTACCCCAATTATATGCCCAATAATAATACAAACTATTAGTTTTGGTTATTCATCGACATTTTAACAAGTTCAATGAATGTTGTTGTATTATTCATGAGATAGGAATTAAAAAAAAAAAATGTGAAAAGAATTTACGTTTTGAGAGTAGAGAACGATGATATTACCATAGTGAATGTGGCATTGAAAGCTGAGATCGTTAATCGGCTTGTCGTGTACGAAGCACTTAAGCAAAAGGTAGACGTTAAAAAATTACACGAATCGAAATAGTTGGGAGGACTGCACGAACGAGGAGCAAAAAGCAATTAGCAAAAAACGAACGTAAACATAATACTGCGCGGGGCCCGTAAATTTATAGCTCGAGTATCAGTTTTTACACTTTTGCGTTTTACCACCCTCCAACCCCTTTCTTGGGGTAAACCTGTGATCGCGACGACATCACGCAATAAGTCACTTAATTTCCCTTTTTGATACGCTCCGAAGGACAAACAGTTATGCTCGATCAGATTTCCTCCTCGAGATTTCCCACCCTTGAAAATACACATGGCACAAGGTGGATGGCGTCCTTCCTAGAACTAGATATATCCCCATAAACTTAGCTTTTAAACGGCCTCTTTGAATATTATTATTTCGATTTCCATTGATGTCGAAGAGGGCAGTAGTAGAACACGATATCGAATGGCGCAACGAAAATAAATAAATTCGGTAGTCTGAAGCGCGAGGGTGGAATAGAACAACAAATAATTGACGCTAGACAACGGATCTCGATGTCTTCGACAGTCTAACACCTCTTTTTGTATGTCCTTTTTTGGAATCTCCTTTTTTTCTCCTTTATTTGTGTCTTCTCTTTTTGTATCTCCTTTTTTTTGTTACGGCTTCTTCCCTTTTTTATTGTTCCGGGTTTGCTTCTCTGACGTCTTCCAGCTGCTCTTTTCTTTAAAGGTCAACTCGTAGCGATACGTTTAACCTTTCCAGATGACTTTCTCGCGTCGCGCGTTTTTCAGTTAAAAACAGAAATCTGCTTCGAAACGAGTTTTCAGCGCCTCTTTAAAAAGAAGCATCTTGCACCAAAAGTGTTCGTATTTGGCTGACAGCCAATGATAAATGGATGGTCGTCGAGAGAGATGAAGATTTTATAATAAAAAGCCACGGTTTTATGGAAACAAGAAGTTATTCAAGCGGTGACTTTCTGGAAGCCTTCTCGTGTATCGGTATGCTGATATGAACTTGTAGGAATGCGGGCATTAATATTGTTGGTTTAGCCCATCAATTTTATGCATTCCTGACGTTCAGCGAGGGGAATGAAATGCCCTAGTAGAGAATATGGGCCATGACTTTCTCTTTTATAAGCTATATTCTATACACTGATAAAATGTATCAGTTAATTGTCATTGTAAAACACGTTTCAAATATAGCAACTGACGAGCATGAACTGATAATCCAAATCAAATTTCATTGATTTCTATGTTACAACGATTATTATTTTTATAACATTCCTTTTATCCCCATCTCGAAGGGTAAATCTTAGGTTTTCCCTTCACGTCGCCCTCAAGGCTATTTTTCTCTGACAAAAGTTGACGTTCGCACCTGATGCTCAATTATCCTTCCCGTCCCCTTGAACACCACAGATGTCCCCGACGCGATTCCTAGCGTAATAAAGAGTGATTTATAAAGAAAGTACACACATGTACGGAGTGCAACCCCTCCTCTCTCTTCGAGTGGAATGAGCGTATAAGCCGGAAAGGGCTGGGTGCATGGACATTTCTCAAGTTTAAACAAGCTCTTTCCTTGGGCGAATGCTGTCTCCGTACATTCTGGTAAAATATCGCAACGGTCTCGAAGAATACACTGTGATTTTGATATCATTGTGGGTGTATATCAAGTCGTTGGTTTAAAATAAAATACAGTAAAACCACAATAACGAATCTCGTTAGAACGGAGTTCGGATATAACGAACAAAATATTTTTAAGTCATAATATTATCTATTATACATTATTAGTATATTTAAATATAAATGTTAGCGTTCATAGATAGAATCCAACTCGGGTTATTCCCCTAATTGATCTATTTTATGTTTATAGATAAACTCGTGGTATTCCACTTGACTAAGCGACATTTTGTCGTTTTTAGAGATTTTCATGCTGTCTCGTAGGTAACGATGTAACTTATCTTAGAAAAAATCCTAAATACCGAAAGACCTAAAATACCATTTGTTTTAAAGGATAAAGCTAAGTAACTTTAATTTTATTATTATATTCGTAATCTTCATAAAATAACCGTTAAAGTGAGTCCAAACATGACGCATTTCTCTCAAAAAACCAAAAAGTTCGAACTTTCAACTATTAATTTTGACATATTTGTCAACCTCATAAAACATCCTTTAAAATGAGTCCAAACTCGACGTATTTAACTTTAATATTAATAGAGATACAATCACTTCCGGTTTGAAACGTCAACGTCAATTTTGACATATTTGTCATCTTCATTAAAAAACCTTTAAAATGAGTCCAAAGGTGACGCACTTATCTCAAAAAACAAAAAAGTTAGAATAAAAAACATTAACACGTTCAGTGCCACTGACTCCGCTAGGAGCCAGTCGGTTATCGTACCATATGCCATCGACTCCGCGCGGAGCCGACTACCTTGAGAGTTGGCAGCGAACGTGTTAAACCCGAAGTTAGCAACAATGAAGATAGCAATTTAATTTTTAAATATTAATTAAAAATATCAATTAATTTTTGTGACAAACATTAATTGTAAGACATTTTATAAAAATTAAGAATATGTCAAAATGACATTGACATTTCAAATCGGAAGTTGCTTATATCTCGAGTAATATTGGAATTAATCGTATCATGTTTGGACTCATTTTAAAGGATTTTTAATGAAGATTACAAATATGTCTAAATTGAGGTTGACATGTTAAATCTGAAGTTAGTTATCGTATAATAGAAGTTTTATAACTGAAGTTAATCTAGTGTTAGTCACTTTTTAGCACTTTCTTTTTATTTTTAATGTGTTTTTTCGTCATTTCACAGTGATTAAAAAAATCGTCGATTTTTAAGAAGATGATTTTTAATATTTCTTTTGTTAAAAAAAAGCGTTCTTAAATTTTAACCTGTAAACTTGTAACACTTAGTCCTTAATTTAGTTTTACAACTTTTTAAACTTTAATTTTGTAAATTAGTAACTAATAATCTGATTTCGACATTGATACGTGATCTTTTTTAACAAAAGAAACAGAAATATTAAGAAACTTGTTTGTAAAATGGATAGGATAAGGGATGTAAATCTATTTGTAGAGTTTCTAAAGGTGGCCAAGGGCCGAAACTAGTTAGACTTAAATTCTATATAAAATAGAAACCAGTTGAAAAGTACAAAATCACACTCTAGATAATTTTCCTCAAAAATTTTTACACGAAACATCATTTTGACTCTAGTATTTGTGATTAAATTTATGTCATGTGATATGCATTGCAATACCAATACTGTGATATTGGTTGCATATACGCAAATCTCGTATACTGTGATATTGGTTGCATATTTGCAATGATGACGTCGGGTACGATAAATAATTAACACACTGTATAAAGCCACGTAGACTGAACGCAACGGTGTTGTGGATAGTTGTCCGCTTTTGTATGTATTAAAATTATTCATACAACTTTCGGCTATAACGGACACTCTTTTCCCGTATTAATCCGTTTTACTATACATTTATTTTAAATAACTACACTTTTGTAATGAAAGGTTTAATATCTGTAGATGACAGGTTGCGTTCTTTTCCTTTGGGGTTTATAAAAATTGTTTCTTTAATGAAAATTTTGTTATGTAACGTTTATAAGCACGCTACCTGAATCCTCTTTGAGGAAAGCTTTTCATGTTAAAAGTTAATATTATTAAATTAGCGAAAAAGAAAAAAAGAATTTTTCATCGAAAACGATTTTATACACATTCTCACAAACGGGGGGCGCTATCATAAAAATTACTTCGTTGCAACTGCCTCGGTAATTTTGACTGAACAATGCGTTGCTGCCCAACGAATCCGATTACCTATTCAACTATTTCCTGGCTGAAATGAGCGCAATATGAGTCGGCCGCGATAAAAAAGCAACGAATTTTTGTAACCCCGCACATATCGGGGGGGCTATCGAAAAAATATGCTCGGCTTAATTGACGTTGTTTTTTGTTGTCGAACGGATGTCGGGAATTACAAAAACATCCGGACCTAGTTGGTTTTTGTAAAATTCGCTCTAGGATTATATAGAAAACGGTTCGGATTATGTTTTATTTTTTTTTGGTATATCATAAATGATAACAATAATAAAGATTAACGAATTAAATTTCAAAATTTATTATTGTAATTTATTATTATTATTTATTATTTCAGGGCTGCTCAAAAACTAAATCTTTCCTCATCACCCCATCGAAGAAAAAGGCTGAATTCCGATGACAGTGAGCCTAATGGTTTCTGCGGGGTCCTGCAGAGGACTCCACCTCCTGTACCTCCAGCGTTACTCCGCAGGATCGGGGTTAAAGAGATTACAGGAGTAGGAAAGGTAGGATTTTCCGTATTCCTTTTTATACTTTTCTTTTTAGAGCCATAAATTTTCTCGGTGGGAGGGAGGCGCGACGATGTTTATCTATACTTCTAATCTGGGCCAGATTTATCATTCCTTTTCCTTATTTTATAGCGTTCCTTTTTATGATTCTTTTTCTTAACTTGAACGTTTTATATCTCACCCGGACCCTTTTATTTTTATTGTGCATGTTTGGGTAATAACCCAATAAACCGCAAAATTCTTTTCATAACTGGATATTCTCAATATCAGAAATTTTATTTAGATCGTCTTAAAAAGTCTTATAAAGATTTTTTAAAAGTAGTTATCGTGCAGACGTAAAACTTTCAAAGTGATATTAAAACTTTTTGATAAAAGAGGCTTTTAATGAGACTGGAATATTTAATGCTAGAAGTTAGAAAGCAAGAATTCGTTGTCTATTAATTAAATTTCTCTATATTTAGCTGTTTCACTATTCGGGCTTAAATAAAAATGATCATTTAGCTATATCACCTACTCGGAATGAAAAAAAGAACTTCAACCGATATTTCACGTACCTCGGCAGTATCGATCACAGGATACCGAAAGTTAGTAGAGAGAGTCCGGGCTTGGATCGTTGCAAAACTCAGTTCCGCATTTATTATTTAACCCACGAGCGTCGCGCTCGAGCGTAGTAGAACGAGTAGAACGCCCCGTGACAGATCGAGTGGCTGTGAATTATAAAGCGACGCGTCACGCTTGTTCGGTAGCCAATTAGCTAGCAAAAACAAGTCAGACTTGACAGTGCACATCTAAAACCGGAAGTTTCGTCCACTTTTCAATCCATTTGCAGAAAGAAATAATCTTAGCAATACTACTTTTTGTTGCAATAAAATTATACCGGGAATTTCATATATCTCGCAATATATGAATGCAGTAACCATAGTTACGAAACTACTATGCACTTGCACTATCCCACATAAAATGCAAGATAGCTTAATAGTACAGAAATTGGGTAGTTTTGCAAAGGAAAAGTTTTGCTTGGAAAAAGGTGACGTCCTTATCATAACCCTGAGTTTAGTTTGAGCTAAACCCGAATATTTCTGGTTCTAGGTCTAGTATTAGTTCCACCTTACGTTCAATAAAAATAACCTAACGCTATAACAATTAAAACTAGAATTAACACTAGACCTAGAACTAGAAACATTCGGGTTTAGCCGCTCGTCTTTCAAGAGGGCTAAACCTGAATGATTCTAGTTCTAAGTCTTGTATTAGTTCTAGTAATAGTGCTAGTGCAAAACTCGAACTAACACTAGACTTAGAACTAGAAACATTCGGATTTAGCCGCACGTCTCTCAAGACGGCTAAACCCGAATGACTCTAGTTCTTGGTCTTGTATTAGTTCTAGTGATAGTGCTAGCGTAAAACTAGCACTTAGCTGTGCGTCTTCAGAAACGTAAACTTTAAAATAAACGTACAGTAAAACGGATTAATATGGGAAAAGAGTGTCCGTTATAGCCAAAAGTCCGTTTTATGAATAATTTTAATGCACACAAAGTCGGACAGCTATCCACAACACCGTTGCGTTCAGTCTACGTGGCTTTATACAGTGTGTTAATTAATTATCGTACCCGACGTCATCATTGAAGTATGCAACCAATATCACAGTATACGCGATTTGCATATACCAATACTGTGATATTGGTTGCATACTTGCAATGATGGCGTCGGGTACAATATATAATTAACACACTGTATTTATACCAACGACTGTAGAATTTAAGAGAAGTGATACATCCCAGGAACAGGTGCACAGTTTGAAGGCCCGCTCGTGACGTCAGCGCTGCATAATAATTAAAACTACAACTAACACTAGATCTAGAACTAGAAACATTCAGATTTAGCCCTAATGATTCTAGTTCTAGGTCTTGTGTTAGTTCTAGTTTTAGTGCAATAAGAATCTGCACCATGGTGATATCTTATGCCAGCTAGCGCTACCTACCACTGCCACTAGAACTAACATTAGACCTAGAACTAGAAACATTCAGGTATAGCCGTCTTAAAAGTTATTGCGTATTAAACTTAATGTTTCTAGTTCTAGGTCTAATGTTAGTTCTAGTGCTAGTCTAGTTTTATTTATTATTCTAGATTGTTGTATATTTTTATTAAGCTATAACACACACTGCGTTCCCCGTATTGATCCGTAGTATCGAAGTTTTAGTGTAATGTCAAATTATATTGTATTGTAGGTACGCCCTGGTTTCTATAGAAACATATTTTTGTATCTTAAGTGAAATTCATTGTATACTAAATTATCAGTAGTGTATTAGTAAATATATATTTATAATTGCAAGAAGTTTAGCACTAACCCTTCTCGAGTAGAGTACCTACTCACTGATTGCGGTGTTGAAGGTCCCCAGATTGAGTCGCCCTTCGAAGAGACGGTTGTTGGTCAATCCTCTTGGGAGGATTTGGGGTCCGCTTGAAAACTTGGTTTAGATTAGCGAGCACTGGGTAATTTGCGCGAGCGACGCGGCCCTTTTGTGTGGGCCGAAATTGAATTTGTTTTCGCCGGAACACGTCCGAGGTCGAATTGAAAAGGCCAAACGAGCCGTGCAATCGCGTTGACACCCCATTAATAGACCTATTTATTGCGGATCAATTGCGTTTGTCAATCGATTAGATCTCTATTATACCTAGGTGCGCGTACTGTTCTAATAATACTCGAATAAAATCCCGGTTAACGTCGTTTAACGGGGCGTTCTGGTTTCTATTCCGACAGTTAAACCTTAAAGCATCCCCCTTTGGCCACGCGTGGGGTGGTAGTTTTCTGGCCATTGTCCCTCTTAGAGCCTAGATTATACCGAATCATTTAACACCGATGAGATTATCGCTCCGAAAAATGTTTGATGCATTAGGAAAGGACTTTACCAAGAAGTTGTTTATGCCCGAGGGCAATTGTTCTTTCGGTCAAGAACTCGAATCCATTATTGCCACGCGAAATAACCTCCCAAAAGGGTTTTCCGTTCCGGAATCACGTAGAAATGAAAGAAGGGCCCCGGGTAAATTATATTATTGCCTCCCTATATCTCTGGGAATTGTCTATTGATTGTTTTCCCGGTTGGCCCAAGCCCGAAACTATCCAGAGGCATGCTGAAATTCGCCACAACGCAACGGCAACGTTCGAATATAAGTCGTATATTTTTGGTATTGCTTCCGGACGGGCGACTGTCGATATTCCATTCTCCCGTCCCATTGTTTCCGAGAGATAAAATTGGATGTATCCCGTTTCAGCCCACTCTCACACGAAACAGGTAGGATACGTTACAATTGCCACACGAATATTTGATAGCAACTTTACGGCTGTACTCGTTGATTCGACGAAAATGTGGGGTTACAAACTTCACAAGATCTTCACCATATCTCTAACACATTGTGTTTCATGGTATTTCGGTATTATTACTTATGCATTTACATCTACAATTTATTTGTTAAACAAAAATCCTTTTAAATTCTCAACATACATACGGAATTTAATGGAAATTCTTGAAATGTAGTAAAGAACATTGTCGGGACGGTAGTTCTAGTTTTAATTGTTATTCAGCGCTAGATTGTTGTATATGTTTATTGAACTTAAAATAGAACTAACTTAAATAGAACTAGTGTTAGTTCTAATACAAGTTAATATAGTGGTTAGTACGACTTCAGATGTTTATAGTTCTAGGTCTAGTGTTAGTTCTAGTTTTAATTGTTATTCAACGCTGACGTCACGAATGGGTCTTCAAGCTATGCACCTGCTCCAAGGATGTAGCAGTTCTCTTAGATTCTACAATGTTGTTGGTATAAATATAAGCCACGTAGACTGAACACAACGGTGCGGATAGCTTTCCGACATTGTGTGCATTAAAATTATAAATATAACGGATTTTTGACTATAACACTCTCTTCCTCGTATTGATCCGTTATATCGAGGAAGCTTTATTTTCTTCTTAGGTGTCGTTTCCGATTCGGAGGTTGCTAATTCTAACTTTTGAGACCATGGGCATGGATCTGAATAATGCGTTGCTAGTACAACCAAACCACTCCCGAAGGTTCTTCAGCCAGGAGTTATGTCTTCTTCCTATGGAGCTCTTTTCCAGAATTTTTCCCTGCATAATGATGAACTTTTGCAAGTTGATACTTTTTCCCTCGCATGACATGGCCCATATACAGGGTGAATCAGAAAGGATGGGAAATGCCTCCAGTCTTCTCACATCAATCGTCTTAAATGTCCACACTTCCGATAGCACATAGCATCATTTTCACTCTCAACTCCAGACTCAGATTCCGACAACAAAATAGCTTCTTCATTCCATTAAACGTGCTTTTAGCCTGTTCAATTCTAATGCTCACCTCTTGGAAGCTGTCGTTATGCCTAGGTATTTGGATTCTTTTACTTTTACCTTTTACATATATCTTATTATTGTTTCTTGTTGTTTTTTGTAATAACTATTAACAAGTTTTTGCAGATCTTCGTGCATTCTGGTTAATATAACCGTATCGTCAGCATATCTCAAATTGTTTATCAGCATACCGTTAATATTAACGCTTATATCTCCTTCACCAAGTGCTTTATTTATTATGTCCGCTGAGTATAGGTTAAAGAGGATTGGTCGAACCCCTCTTTAAACTTCTATTTCATCAGATATTAAATCTTCCATATATTTCTCCCTTTTGCCCATAAAGTTTCTCTAAGTAGGTGGTGTTTAACTTTATCAAAAGCTTAATTGTAGTCTACAAAACATAAATGTAAGTCTAGATTCATATCTAGGCATTTTTGATATCTTTGGAAATCTTAAAACTTAGAAAATCCTTGTAATATCCTCGTTGTTGCGATTTTTCTAGAAATTATTTGAAATTCACTTTTTTTAACATAAATCTTACATAGTAGTAACCTTTTTCTATGAAATAAGTTGAATAATGACTATTATTACAAATAGCGACACGATTTTGGTAATTTAGAACTTGATTCAAGTTCGCGCACAATTTCAAGATATAATTTACGACGTTGATTTGGATTATTAATTGCGGAAAAGCGGAGGAAA